TCATCTCTATTTGTAAAAAGAGGAAAGAATAAATAAATAGTAAAAATATTTACCTGGTGGAAAAGGATTTTTGATACATCTAAGCAGTGGGGAGAGTCTCCTTGGGAAAGACAGAGATTGGACTGCAGAGCGCTGAGCGTGGGTGCAGGGATGATGCTGGCAGGAGATAGGCACATGAGAAGCTGGGAAGTACGTTCCTGCCCACTTGGAGGGCCTGGCATGGGTAACTGTGGGTTTCCCTGCATCCCTGCCTGAGCTGTTGGTCCATTCATCTGCCTTTTCCATCCAATGTCCTGGCCACCTTGTGATGGGTGGACCATGGACCTGTAGCCCTGGGAATGTAGCCCTCGAGGTGGGGGGCTCTGTCCTGGCAGACGTGGGCCCCATGATTCGTTTCTGCTCCCAAGAGCCCCGGCCCCATGCGACTTCCCCTTCCAAGCTCAGCACCCCCCAATTCCACCCACAAACTCTCCGGTCACCGAGTCACATGAAGCCTCTCCCCATGGCTCATAACCATGGGGCCTTCACAGACACCCAACATCTCAAATATTTGAGGACAGTGTCCCGAATAAGTCAGGAACACTTTCACTCCCAACCCAAGCATGGCAGAGGCACCGAGCAGAATCTCTCCAGGAGCAAAATGAGCCTTTCAGTGTTTGAAAATCAAGAAATCACAGAGGCGAAGGAGGGCAGTGGAGCTTTTGCGTTCTTTCAAAATGAATTTTTAAATATATGTACAAAGGGACACATGTATCCTGGAGACGGGGCACCAGACGGGTTCTCTCTGACATGACTTGTTCACTAGGGGCCGAGTGTCCAGGCTGAGAGCAAGGGCCCCAGGCAGACCGAGAAGTGTGACGCGGGGCTCGTGGGTCACCAGCCTTCCGGAAAGTGCCTAACCTCTGTTTCTTTGTTCGTAAAAGGAGGACCACAGGAGCACTCGCCAGCAAGGTTGCTGTGAGGACTGGGCACACATCTACACACAATCTCACACATGCACACACATATGCACACACACACACACCCCTACACACACCTATACATGCTCTCACACATGCACACACACACTGCCACATGCTCTCCCTCTCTCACACACACACACAGTCTCACACCCGCACACACACCTACCTACTCACAATGCACCCCCTGGTATACAGGCCTGGTACAGCCTAAGTCTACATGTCTGTCAATGGTGTCCTTCTTGCTAGAGGGTGTAATCCGCATGCCTGCTGTGGTCTAACTCCATGTCTGGACTCAATATTCGGAAAACAAAGATGCTGGAGTCAGCCGTGGTGGCGGGTACCTGTAGTCCCAGTTCCTCAGGATGCTGAGATGGGAGGATCGCTTGAGCCTAGGAGTTTGAGACCAGCCTGGGCAACAGCAAAACTCTGTCTCAAGAAAATAAAAAAATGTTTTTAAAGACATAAGCAAGCAGTCATTATCCATGGAAGGATTTCAAATCACACCACTCCATATTGCAAAAAATAATTAATTTTGTTTTTCTAGTGTGAGTCCCCCAGAAGCAGATGAGACAGACGGAAGCTCAAGTGGTTTACATAGGAGGTGGTCCTGGGAGACTCTGGTAGGGTGGGGGAGGTGACATCGGCAGGGAAGGCCGCTGGTGAGGGGTCCAGCATCAAGATGACCACTTGCGACCCACTGGGGCTCAGTCCCTGGTGTTGTCATGGTTTATACCAGCTCCAGCCTGTCATGGGATGGGGATGCTTCCATAGGGCACTAATTCCTGGCACTTCCTGCTGCTGCAGGGCAGGGCAGCTTCGGTGGAAAGACGAACCTTCGAGAGAGAGGAGCTGAGAACACTGAGTGAAACACTCAGTTTCACTAAGTCTTCTGTGTGTTATTCTAGTTCATGCATAACAGTTGGCTTTTTAAGTGCGGTGGAAATGTGGCCGGCGTGGCCTGCAATGGCAAGACCCAGGGGACTATGACGGACCCCATGGCACCCGCTGCAGTCCAGCCCTGGCAGCTTCAGAACACTCATGCCCCACACTGAGCTCACACTTAGCTGCCACCGAGTCTTCAAGGTAACATTTGCCTGTGATAATTTCTAAAAAAAAACAAAAAAGACAGAAGTCTTAGAACTGAAACATTCTTCGGCTGGGCGAAGCTCCAGCTGCGGTAGTCAGTGTCAGTCATGGCAGATGTCCATCCTTTCCTCCTCGCCGCTGGCCAGGGGCTCAGCTGGACTAGGTCGCTTCTCCAGTGGGATAGCACCGACCTTCAGGGTTCTGAGCCCCCGGCTGTGCACCTTGGAGATCTGTGTTCCTGCTGTGCCAATTCACAGGCCTGGAAGCACTAGAGGGTGCCCAGAGAACCCCGGAGTTCTGTGCGTCCACCCCCTGCCTCTCCCATGGGACGGTGCACCTGCTGCTTGGTGACAGCCAGACTCACTCATCCAGCAGTAGGTTAGCAAGACTATCACACTGTACAGACAAAAGAGAGATGGGCAGAAGTTAAAAAGTTCTAATTTGCCTACAAAAGTAAAGGCGGCATCTGGCTCGCTCCTGGGCCCTAGGGAACACTGAGCACCTGCCCAGAGGATGCCAGTGATGGTGGGGCTGGAGCTGCCCATCTCGCCTGGCATTGCCAAAGGTTCAGTGGGCAGAAACCCTCAGCCATCTGAAGAAGCGGTGCATTTCAGATCAGGCCCCAGCAAGAAAGTCCCATGAGGCCCTGGTGAGAACCGGCCAGAGGACATGGGGTCCCAGTCACCTGTTGGACACCATGGTGTGGGCAGGTCCGGGAAGCTTTTCTTCTCCTTTTTTTTTTTTTTTCTTTTATGAGACACTGTCCTTCTCTGTTGCCTAGGCTGGAGTGCAGTAGCGCAATCACAGCTCACTGTAGCCTTGATATCTCAGGCTCAGGCAATCCCACCTCAGCCTCCTGAGTAGCTGCTGCCACAGACGTGCACCACCATGCCCAGGTAATTTTTTGTTTGTTTGTTTTGTTTAGAGACAGAAACTCCCTATGTTGCCTAGGCTGGTCTCAAACTCCTAGGCTCAGATGATCCTCCTGCCTTGCTTGGCCTCCCAAAGTGCTGGAATTCCAGGCATGAGCCGCCG